ATAAATATATTCCTTACAAAGTCCAAATTATGAAAAATATTCTAGTATATATATTTGTATCAATATTCTTAATGATGTTTTTAAATATTACTTTGTCTTCTAGTCCATCATACAGTGAGGACTGTGTGTGTTATGAACACTGGAGTTTGTGTTGTTTTTTTCTTGATGTAAAGCCTGCTGTCTCACTGGATTTATTCTATTTTAGTGAATCAAAATTTATAATATATTCTGTCCTAATATATTGCATTCTTCTATTTTCTTTCTATTCTTGATCTTTGAGAAGGGTTAAATATGAACTCAAACCAAACTGATGGCCATTTCTTGGACTGTACCTTCTAAACTCACACTGGCATTACAGGGAAAAAAATCAGGGAACAGTATAACAAGTCCTTTAAAAATTGTGTAGAATCATATAATAAAAAAGCTAACTAAGCAGGGCATAAGTAAATATAAATTTGCAAAAACCTGTAGTCAATTGTGAAGAATTTCTGTCATCCAGAGCTGGCTTGACTTCATTTTTGCAAAATAAAATGTTGAAAGTATTCTACATTAGTGCTCTGTAGGTTGATTTTCAATTATTGATTACCACTTAGTCTGTGTATATCTATTCTGTGTGCCTCTGTAAACTTGGATACTCAAGTCTGTACTGTGGCCCTGGGGGAAGAAATGTCTTGAACTAAGCAAAAGATGTGAATTTCGGAGAACCCATTGATCTTTTCATGACCTGCCAGGCTCATATTTTTTTTTCCAGATTTTTCTCAACCTGACACAATTCTCAGTTTTGTTATGGGTATGAAGACCTGAAGCACAGATATTACATAAAAGTATTTGTGAAAGTATACATGAAGCTGGTTAAAGCCACATTTTTCATTTACAATTTAGCTAAGAGCTACTCTGAGATTTACTCACAAGGTAAGTCTAATTCTACAGACTGGGCATTTGAATTCCACTCCAACTAAGGAACTGACTTTTCCTGTTGCTAATAAAAGTACAAGTTTACTGGTATCAAAATGTGACATTCTTAGAAATTGGCACTTAATATTTAAGAACATGAATGAAGCAGATCTTAAAAATCCATTTGAAGTGATACTTCTTTAGAGTTACTTATTTTAAATTTTAAAAATAGGCAGCTTAAAAAAATGACAATAAAAACATATCATTCAGAAATAACAGTTAAGGCTTTGTTTCAGTCCCTCTCCCCACCACCATGTTTTCTGTACATCCATTAATAGGGATCATATTGTAGATATAGTTTAGTGTTTTGATTTTTCAGTAGCCATTTGCTGCTTTTGGACATTGGCTACTTTTGTATTTGGTCTCCATTCCCTTCCTTGGTTGTAGGGAACAGTCCTTCTGTCAGCAACTGGAATTCTGCTGGGGTTTTAATTGTCTGGTTTTCCTTTACTTCTCAAAGAAAGACGTGAGCATCAGGTGAGCCAATCAGAGGATCCCACGTGCCTAGATATAGCCATGTGACAGAAAAAAGGCCAATCGTAAAAGTTATTTTCCTTGGATAAAATGAGAGAGGAGGACACTGTGATCCTAAATATAAACTATAAGGGTAACTGATTTTCTCTACCATTGCATGGAGAGCCGCTGCATGAGAATGGGTTAGTAGAGAAAGCAGAGTAGAATGAGAGAAAGAAACAGGACTGTAATGAAGGATTTGATTTCTTCATCCTGCTGCGCCTTTTGGACTTCTGTTTTCTGTGAGTCAAATATAGTTTCTCCTGTGTGAGAGTGAATTTGTTCGATACTGCTGTCACTTGTAATGAGATGGTCCTACGACTTAAATATTAAAAGTATTTTGTATCTCTAAAGTTTAATTCATTAATATATTTGTAAATTCTGGAAAATAACCTATTTTAAGAAAATATAATTCTATGAATATAGAATACTATCTCAAATATTAGTTCTTGTTGTAATAGTTATTATCATTGTAGTTTTTTAGTATTTCTATAAACATATCAGATTCAATTTAAACTTTCCCATATTTTTAGATATTTATATTTTCAAATTTCAAATGTTTATTTCTATTAAGTAAAACTGGCTATTCACATTTGCATGCTTAGAATTCTAGGAATTAAAACTGGAGATGACAGTTTCAGCTTTTAAAAGCTCTTTATTTTTCTTGTCAAATTTTTAATTTTAATCAGAAAGGCATGATTCCCCACCTCATGCATTGCCAGGACTGTGCTTGCAAAGTATTCTAATTATTGCCAATTTGAAAGATACAATTTTAGTTGTTTCCTTTTGTGATTGAGGCTATATAATTATATAGTCATTGTCCATTGATTCCTCCTTTTAAGATCTGTTTAAAATCCTGTTTTTTCTTTTTTAAAAAGCAGTTTACTTCTAAAATATCACTTAATAGTTCCTCAAAAATACATACATAGCCCTAGCTGGAGTAGCTCAGTGGACTGAGTGCCTGCCTGCAAACCAAAGGGTTACTGGTTTGATTTCCAGTCAGGTCACATGCCTGGATTGCAAGCTAAGTCCCCAGTTGGGGGTGTGCAAGAGGCAACCACACACTGATCTTTCTTTCCTTCTTTCTTTCTTTCTTTCTTTCTTTCTTTCTTTCTTTCTTTCTTTCTTTCTTTCTTTCTTTCTTTCTTTCTTTCTTTCTTTCTTTCTTTCTTTCTTTCTTTCTTTCTTTCTCTCTCTCTCTCTCTCTCTTTCTCTTTCTTTCTTTCTTTCTTTCTTTCTTTCTTTCTTTCTTTCTTTCTTCTTTCTTTCTTTCTCTCTTCTGCCCTCTCTCCCTATAAATAAATAAATAAATAAAACCTTTTAAAAAAGAAAAGAAATACATATATATTTGTCTACTTAAGGGGCTTATGACTTACCTCAATCTTTTTTTTCTTAATTACAGTTAAATATAGCATACTAACTGGAAACTCAGGACCTGCATTTTAGAAGGTGAGGCCTTGGGCAGACAACCTCCCTCAGACTCTTCCAGCCATGGGAACTCTAAGCTGTTCTAAGCCTTCCAATAAAGTTTAAAAGCAGATAGAAAAAGAACTTGAACAGATATTTGTCCACTCATATTTAAAGCAGCATTATTCACAAAAGCGAAAAAATGAAAGCAATTCATCTCAATCTTTTTCCAAAATCATTTACTGAAAAGTGCCCTCCCATTTTTTTATTATAAAGCACATTTTTTTATGTATAGGGTGGGCAAAAGTAGGTTTACAGTTGTGAGTCCATGAAACAGAGTTTATTTTTTATTATATATTAATTATTGTATTATTTCCCATATGAACAACTGTAAACCTACTTTTGCCATACTTTGGTATACTGAGAAAGTGCTTCTCAAACTTCTCAAGGCTAAAAATCACCTTGTGAATTTGTTTCAAGTGCAAATTTCTGGGCCCACTCTAAGAGACTTTGGTTAATGAGGTCTGAGGAAAAACCAAGGAGGCCGGGTGATTCCGCAGTGAGAGATTACCAAGCAAAAATCTAAGAAACATGGGATGAGCATGTTTCAACACTGTCTGTTCTGTATTCTCTCCCTTCCTGATTCTCTCTCTTTCTCATTTATTTAATTAATCCCCATTCCTACACTCTGCTCTTGTGTTCTGTCTCAGCTAAACTTTTAAAAAATATTTTGTTTATTTATTTTTAGAGAGAGGAGAAAGGAGGGAGAAAGTGAGGAAGAGAAATATCAATATCTGGTTGCCTCTCACGCACCCCTAACTGGGGACCTGGCCTGCAACCCAGGCATGTTCCCCAGTCAGGAATCAAACTGGCAACCCTCTGGTTCACAGCCTGGCACTCAGTCAACTGAACCACATCAGCCATGGTGAAAAAGGATTAAGAAGCATAAAACCACAAGTTGAATTCATTAAGAAGTTTGAAGATATACAAAATAAACAGGTGTCCTGGCCAGCCCTGGTGCATGTCCCATTAGGTTACAAGGGCCACAGGAGCCTGAGTCTGCTGTCCTGTTCTCTCCAACCCAAAATGTCACAGAAGCTCCTGGTCCCCTTTAATGGAAATGGGTACTGAGCTCCCTGGGCTCTCATAATGGGATCACTCTTCTGAAGAGATTCTCTGGAGGAAACTAATGACAGAGTGAGGGCAGGGATGGGAGGAATATGGTGGCACCAAGAAGGCCCACTCTCACATCACCATTGTTTACCAATTTTTTTTCCTGTCCCATCCTAGGTCTCAGATCTCCTATCTTCAATTTTCCTATTCTTTCCACTTTCTGATGTGTGGTCCCAACATCTACCTCTCTTTAACTCCACCATTCTCTGATTTTCTCTACTAACTTGTATACAGACTTGGGTCTAACCTGGGATCAGAGGCTCTCCTCCATCTCCATCTCCATCTCCATCTCCATCTCCATCTCCATCTCCATCTCCATCTCCATCTCCGTCTTCCCATGTAGGTCGGGGTCTCTGGGTTACCAGTACTAGAGAATCACTCAGATAGTCGTAAGGGAGGACTTCTCTTACACCAAGTGCAACAGCACAACCACGTTTGATGGAATGTGGACCAGTTTATCGTGGTGCTCTAGTGGCTCAAAAACAATTCTAGCACTGGCTGTTTTGTTGGTCTCTATGCTTCTGTTAGTCCCTTTACATAGAGTTACAAAGACACCCTAGAAAAGGATGTACAGTCTATCTCAGGAAGGGAGACTAGACTTATGGAGAATAGCAGTTAAAAACAGAGATGTGGAAATCAGACAGTCTTGCGACCTGAGCTAGAACCAAGTTTCTGCTAGCCTAACACAAGACATTTAAGCAATCTCCCTTCATGAAGAAATGGTAATTACATTAAAAAAAAACAAAAACACTACTAAAAGTAATATCTTTACTTGAGATTGTTTGGATGATGAAAGCTCACTATGCTCACCCTTATTGTTTATTATTTTTATTTTAGGGTGATCCCAAGAATGTATTTATCTCAGCTGCTCACACTTGTTCTTCTGTCTTCCTACTTCAAGCTCCTGTACTCTTAGAAAAGGTCTATATCCCCAGGGTCAGGCTCTCCCCAGCCCAGCCCTTGGAACATCTACTCTCTGAAGCTCTAACAACACAAGGACTGAAAGAGGTAAGGAGGCCACGGGCAGAGCGAGGCCTGGAGGCCTGCTCTTCAGTTCACCTGAGACACCTGCCTTGCTCTGGGAAGAAAGCTTCCTTGGAGAATTAATGATTAACAGTCAGATTTGGAATAGGAATAGAAAATGATTATCAGGACCAGGAGTCTCCTGTGAAAGATGAACACTTTCCACTAAAAAGTAGACTATGATCTGATGTCTAGCAATGGGGCTCAATTTCTGAGAACTGTTTACTTCTGCTCAGGCTCTTTTAAGGAAAGTTTTTAAAAAAATATGTTAACACTTAACATAATTACCAGGAAGCATAATAATGTGCTTCACCAATGTATACCAAATTAAATAATTTAATTTCTTTTTAAAGTAATATAACTTATTCCAGGAAATATAAGTCATCTACCCAGATTTATACATCTATGTAGCAAAGACACTTGCTCATACATATTTGAAGTATGGGGGTAATATTAGTGCAGCCTACTGTGGGTGAATAGACATGAAACACATAGAGAGGGAAGTAATGCCTGAAATCTCTGATGATGAGGTTACCATAATTGCAAAGAGGCATACAAGAATGGAGAAGGTATAGGGATGTGAAAACCTGATCATAGCAAAAACCATGAAGTCTACCTAGGGGACAAAAAAGGAAGAAAGAAACACAAGGCACAGGATGTATCCTAGTAGAAAAGTAATTCTGAGCGCTAAGAGAAGGCAGAGGAGACTGCAAAATGGACTGAGCCATTCCAGGCAATGAAGTAAATGTGGTAAAAACAGACACACGAAGAGGCTAAGCATATAGTGTTCATTTGACCCTACTGACCCTGCTCAGTCTTCTCCAAGAGCATCCATGGTCAGAGTAAGCAATTTATTTTTAGAGAGGGGAAGGGAGGGAGAAGGGAGGGAGAGAAGCATCATTTCTCTCATGCACTCCCAACTAGGGACCTAGCCCACAACCTGGGCATATGCCCTGACTAGGAACCGAACCTGCAACCCTTGAGACCCTTCGACCCTTTGTTTGGTTCTCAGACCAGTGCTCAGTTCACTGAGCTACACCAGCCAGGGCTGAGTTGTCAATTTAAAAATGGTCCAAAGTCTTAGAGCTCACAGAAGCTATAGGTGGTGGAAATGGAACCTGCACAGGAATAGAAGGGGTACTGTAACACAGCAGAACATATCTCCCTATCTCTTGTATTCTCCACAGGAAAATATGAAAACTCTACTCACCATGCAGTCCCTGCCTCTGCTCCTCCTGCTGCTGCAACCACTTCCACTGCAGGTTCTAATGCAACGATTTTTTGGTGTTCCAGATCAACTGGCAGAAGAATTAGAAGATTATGCAGATGAGTTATATAGCACAGGGCCTACCAAACCACCTACCAAAGAAATTTTCCAAAAGCATGTCATAATTCCTCCTGTATTTCCATTATATTTTGAATACGACTGTAGTTTTGAAATGAGGTTCAGAAATGTTCATGACAGGTTTTACTGTAGGAAAGAACACTTTTTCCTCCCAGTAACATATGAGGAGCTACAGAAGACCTGTAACAGCAAGTTTGTGGCATGTAGGAATGGAGTTAAGAGATGCCACAAGACCGAGAAAATAATAGAAGGACTGCACTGTAAGTTAACAAGTGGAATTAGGATGTCAGGCTGTTATTATGAAACTTTTCTCAAGAAGGGATATGTCCTTATCACTTGCCGATGGCAAGATGATATTGGAGAAATTATTCCCGAGCAAGTAAATGATATTTTGGAAATATCTGGCAAGCAGTAAAGTGTCAGACACTAGGAAGATCTCTTCCTCCCACCATTCTAGAAAAGTATTCTTTATAGAATGGGAGGGTATACTCCTCTCCATGCTGATTCTTATAGGTCCAAGTTGAGAATGGTCATTTTGATCCATTAATTGTAATCATCCACCTCCCTCTCTTCTTCCCCTAACACCACAGGCAGGCAACCTGGGCTAGGTTCAAAGACAGTGCTTGGAGACATGACTTCAGACAGGTCATGTAACTGAGCACATTGTGGATGTATTGAGGACGAATGCCCGTAGTGGAAGGATGGCCATCACCAAAAAGAACAAAAAATGGTTGCCTGAAGTGTGCTCTGAAGTTGTATTAGTGTGAATCTCTAGTTCAGTAAAAATAATAAAGTGCATTGACTTAGTGAAGTGTCTCTGCTGTGGTCGCTTACCAGTGTCACTGGTATGAGGCTTCTTAGTTTGGGATTTCCTTTCTCTGTGAACCGATTTGTAACAAAAAGCTCTCAGAGCCCCTTGAGAAACTGTGTATCGTAATTCATCTATCTAGTGCTATATTTATAAGTATTTTGCTTGTTCTATTCTGTTCTTTCCATACAATGCAATATTCACAGGAAAATGAAGGTATAGGTTCTAATAGGAGATACTTCAGGATAAACACCTAAATATTTAGGGTAGCAAACTTCCCAAAGGGTTTTTCAATTATTTGATATTTCTTTTATGGATTCCTATGCCTTTGATTTAGCTTATTCACAAAACTACAAACAATTCATCGTTCTTGACAGTCACATTTATTCACAATTCCTTTCTCCACTTCCCATAGGTATGGCTTTTTCTAAGAACATTCCATTTTCAAACAGGCTCAGTATGACTGAAGACTCGGTATGATAAACCTACCTGTCCAGTTTAGGTAATAATTTCTCTCCTTTTGTCTGTGAAACTCCTTAATATGTTTAAATAATTATTCCCTCTAACTAACATATGGAAAACTGGATAAGGACTAGTGATAGGAGAGGGTAGGGAGGGTGTCTATTTCTCCTGCACATTTCTGTGCAATCCAATATGCCCATCTTTTTACTGTTCCCCATCCTTGTCTTCAGACTTAGAGCTAAGGTCCTAATTCATAAATCAGTTGATGTAAATAGCGGCTTAGGGTTCATTTATTTATCCACTAAGTATTGAATGTTTGTGCATGACAGTCACTTCGCCAGCTCTTGGGCCCACAGAGTGAAATGTGGATATCTGGTTATAGGTTAAGTTGTTCCTAAAGCTAGAATTCAAACAGATTCAGGTGTACATGGTTAACTGGTGAGACCGTGTTTGAAAAGATTCTAGTTACATGAGGAGAACTGCTGAAGAAGAAGGGTCTGCATAATAAAAAGGAAAATGAAAACTGGTGCAGAGAAGCAAGAATGTATTTCACTTCCATCTACCTCCCCATCCCACATTCCTCATACACATATCACACACTAGTGCTTTTTAACCAGTGTTTGAACTCTATGCAGAGAAAAGCTTTAAGTAGAACATGTTAGAATTATTTTGATGAAAGACTGAGGAACAAACAATGCTGTTCTGGCACTGCGGGATGAAGAGTACCATGGAGTGGTAAAGGTATAATCTCTCCCTATCCCAAAGGAAAGCCACATGGCTTGGTTTCGATGCTGTTGGAAAAAATCACATCTTGGTATAAAGGCCGTGTCATGAAGGCACTGGCAGCCATGACATTGAACAAGACCCCACAAGTGTCTTCAAGGGTTTTTATTTTTAATTCTCACTCAAGGATATTTTTCATTGTTTTTAGAAAGAGAGGAAGGGAGAGAGAGAAACATGAATGTAAGAGAGAAGCATTGACTGGTTGCTTCCCATAGGGGCCCCTACTGTAGATTGTAGATTTTAGATCATAGATTGTAGGCACCTGGACCTGGGATCTCACATGCCTAGTAGGCACCAGGATCCAGACAGGGCAGGGTTGGGGGACAGGGATCATATGCACTGGGAGGGAGAAGAAACCTGCACCTAGGTATATGCCCTGACTGGGAATCAATGAGCAGCCTCTTGTTCTGGGATGATGCTCTAACCAACTGAGCCACTCCGGCTAGGGTGACATTGGTGAGATTTTAAAGCATAGAGGATTATAAATGCAGACACAATGCACTTTCCCTCAATAAGCTGATCTTTTTTTTTTTTTTATCTTAGGGTCGTAATAGGAACCTGAAATTTTATCTGAGCACATAGCCACCCAAAGTAAAAGAGATATTTCCCAGGGTTGGTTCTTTGTTTCAATTAAAATTGAACATGTGACTAATTTCTAGACAATAGGACATCTATAGAAAATAAGTGAAACAAGCATCTATCTTGGACCCTGACATGGAAGTTTGCAAAGTTTGGCAGAGCAACGAAATAGAAAGAACCTGCATATAACCCTGTGAGCACCATACCAGGCGTGAACTGACTGTCCCTGGACTATAGAAAAAGAAATGGACCTTAGACAGAGAAACAAGTACCTGTCTTGTTTCAGCCACTGCTATTTGAAGTTTCTGTCACTGTCAAACCAATTCTAATTAATATGTACAGGAACTGGGAAGAGGGGGCAAACTCATATGAGGTGTAGGTTGTTACTATTAAAACAAGTCTAACAGTAACCCCTGAGGAGGTATAGGTTGCCCAAGCATAAGGCCTGATGTAAATTTCAGAAATTATATGTAACGATACAATTAGAAAAACAGAAGCACAATAGCTGACATTGTCAGGCCAATGGTTAACTTCTTCTATTATCCTATGCCTTTTTTACTTCAAATATTCCAGCAAAGGAGACTAACCAAAGAAAATTCAGGATTAGGAGAAACAACTCTTAGTTGGGAATTACACTTTGGAATGCATCACTGACCTATTGACAAGCCTGGAGGACCACAGAAGTTTTTGTGTTTAATAAGCCTTGGGTGATTCTTCTTAATCTTGAAACTACTACAGGTAGAAGTGAGACTGTTTGATCAATCTTTTGGCTTTCTAAGCCCCAAGCCAAGACCCAAACTGAGATTCCCATTGCTCTGCATCCTTCCATCCACCTTGTGATTTACTACCACAGGTCACAAAACAACTTTGTGAGATACCCAAAGTACAGTCAGGCACCTACTGAGTTAATTCATTTAATAATATAATTTGCAAGTTAAATTTAAAAGCCAAAGGAAGAACTATGGGCTTTAGTTCTTTTTAAATTTTAACCAAAATAATTCCCATTGTTAAAACCAAAATAAACTTCTCAGTAGGTATTCTGGAAAAACTATTTTGAGTGCACCAAAAAGCTTGAATCAACCCTCATAACTTTTGCCCCTCAATAGCCTGATGCCATCGGCATGCCCTTGGTTGCTGCTCAGAGCTTAGTACAGAAAAATCCTGATGGTGTGTGTGTGGCCTGGGGCCTGCCCTGGGCCTTCTGCTTCTGGCTGAGAGCTAAGACAAGTAGAATGATAACCTTACTGCCAGACCCTTGGGGCACAATCATACTTGGGCATGATCAAAAGACAGAGTTGACAGGTGGAAAAAAATGATATAGGCAATAAGGAACATTCTGATATGAACGGTATATGCACACACTGACCTCATTATTCAGGATATATCAAAGGTCAACTGTGTTCCCTGAATGGAAACAGGCACTGATTTCCTTCTTATTTCAAACAGTAATGATAAAACCCACAAAACTTACATGTCCAGACCTGTAAAAAAAGGTTACAGTTCCACTAAAAGACAAATTTTAGTCCTGACTGATATGGCTCAGTGGGTTGAGCATTATCTTGCAAACCCAAAGGTCACCAGTCTGATTCTTGGTCAGGGCACATGCCTAGGTTACGGACCAGGTTGGGGGCATGCGAGAGGCAACTGATTGACATTTTTCTCCTTGTTTCTCTCCATGTTTCTTCCTCTCTTTTGAAAAATAAACATAAACAAAAAGTTTAAAGACTTCAAGTGCCCTTGTCCCCAATAAGGAATGTAATCTCCCTTTAATGTCCTTGGGTAACTTCTGAATCTACTTGGAGTGTTAACTTTATGCAATCTCACAGATACTTCACATCCTTCCCATTGCTCTCTCTGTTCAGGGGTCATGTCCACTGACTGGACGTCATTGGACTGTCTCCACACTGCTGATGCTGCTTCCCCTTTATTTCTAGATCCCAAGATGCACTGATCAGAGGTGCTAGATAAAAACTTTTTTAAAACTTTTTTTAAAGAAGAGGGGAAGGGAGGGAGAAAGAGAAGGAGAGATTATCATTGTGTGGTTGCCTCTTGCACACCCCCAACTGGGGACCTGGCTCACAACCCAGGCATGTGCCCTGACTGGGAATCAAACTGGTGACCCTTTGGTTTGCAGTCCAGCCCTCAATCCACTGAGCCATTCCAGGCAGGGTTAGAAATGTCTTTAAAATTAAAATTTAAGAACATTGTTATTAAAAATTTAAAAGTAGTAAAATATACAGAAGTTAACATCCTTGTATAAGCCTTTTTTATTTGCCTTTGAGAATATTTCCAAAGTACAGAATCCTACCAATAAACTTCATGGATTACATGAGTATTTCATTTGTGATTGTCACTGAGATTTACATTTTGTGTACTTTTCTATAAGTGTGCTATAGTTCAATTTTTAAAAAAGGTTTTATTTACTTTAGGTTTGTCTGGGTATTTTTTTGAGGGGAGGGGTGAAAAGAAGGCGAGAGGGTGAGAATGACTGACCTGAGAGAGAAACACCAGTTGGTTGCCTTTTTCATGTACCCCAATGGGGAGGAACCCGCAGCCCAGGCATGTGCCCAGAATCAAACCAGTGACCTTTTGCTTTGTGGGACAAAGCCCAACCAACTGAGCCACATTGGTCAGGGCTATATTTCAGTTTTGATATGTTTAAGTTTTTTTCTGGATCAAAGCAAAATTACATTTATAAACTCAAGGTACATTGACAAATTTTCTCCCCAAAGCTGTATCAATACATACTCTCACAAAAACTTTCTCTAAATTCTTTTAATGTT